ATCATCTCATACATGTGTCGGTCGTGAGTGTTCACGGAACTGTCCCACTCGTATCATACACCCTATTTCATGACCTCGTGTGGTCGATTGCCTAATGTAACCTTGCTCTGAATTCGGCAATTTTTCCAGCTTGGACAGATCCTGCATCCTCACACTGCTCTTCTTGTGCAGGTTTTGTGATTGTTATGAGTAACTCCTCGGAGATTGCGGATGGCACGAAGGGTAAACCTGGCCCTTTGGACAACTATGAACTCTATGCTGTCGTAAGCTGGGTTACTATCATAGACGAACTCTTGTACGAGTTACTGCCAGGCATGCTCAGTTCATTGATCACGCGAAGCGCAGACGAATCATTTGAAAAGCTGTTTATGACGTAGCAATGAAAGTCATGTCATGATTTTTTCCTCTTTTTATGATCCGAAATAAACCATAAAATTTGAACTACGACACTCATGTATGAGTATGTGCGTAAATCGGCTAGTGAGCTTTTTTCACAGTCCGTACAGTGGTGTAGTTTCTAGATTCTGGAAAACGAATTCGATAATCACCGAATCTCATTTTTGTCCATAGAGCAGTCTGGCATATTTAGGAACTCGCGAACGCTACATCGCGTATAGCGTCATGAATTCAACTGCAATAGTCCATACCTTGCTTTTTTCAGAATTTCGCATCGAAGGGTACGATGGGCCTCTTCTCTGGATTTGTTCCAGCCATGGTTTTGTTCAAGAGCCCTCGACTAAGGCTTGCCGCTACGGCCGTTGGAGCAGGAATCGGTCTCGGCTATGCATGGTGCCAAAATGATTTATATTCAGCTGATCGTAATAACAAAGCGGACTGGTCAACCTCCGTGTCGTAGCCTTATCTCCGAGTGAGCGCCGCGTATCGCGATTCCGGAATGAGGAACTTTCGACAGCTTTAATGAATTCCAACCTCTATTGCACTCCGCGCATTGGCGTGACTTGTTCTATCTCAGCCAACTCTATCGTCCTGCCGGGTACTTTCGAGGAGTATATGAATCGTTTGACGGGGTTGGTCAACTCCAAGCTGCCAGAGCAACTGAAAGTGAAATGATGTCGGCTGAACTGGAGCAGCTTATTATGCAGTACGAGGCTGTGATTGTTCGGCTGCTGGTGTGAATGGCGTATGTGCTGCATCATTTTTTGCTCACAACGACCGTGTCGAGTTGCGATGCTCCCATGTTAATCACTAACTGTCTAATGCGGTATGCATTATGTCTACCCAGTGCTTCATCTATGTTGATCACCATCAATGCCGGATCATTGTCTCCGCGCACAAGGGCAGGGCAGACATCGCCATTCTGAGTGTCGTGTCAACAAACTGTCATCCGTTCGCTGTGTGATTGGTTCTATGCATTCCGATTGGTTGCTCTGTGTGTCTCTAGCAGTCTAGGGACTCCCTGAACAGTCTGCTTGTATGTCATCCCGTATGCTTCGGCCCTCCTCCCCAGCACCGGATCGTGGTCGTGGTTGCCGTAGACTTAGTAGAGTAATGAGTAGTGCCAGCACAATGGACAGCCGGGGGTCCTTGCGAGTGGATCGTCACTACAATAGGGCCGGACAAACTAGTACACTACACAATCATAATGAACTTCGATATTCAATGAAGAAGAGCAGCAGTGAGTGGTCTGCCACAGCTAAAAGGCCCAGCAGAGCCGCATACGACGTGAGTAGCGCTCAGCTGGCCCGGAGAATGGCCAGGGTGGTGCAGGGACTTGCTCGGGCCTTGGCACGACTCAATGAAGGAGCAGATCCAAGCGATTGGGGTATGAGCTCACGAAGTACTACGGCAGGAATAGTGTCCAAAATGATCAAGGATGATAGAGGTGCTGCTCGTGAGCCTTCCCCGATGTTCGTGATGTGAGTAGGGTGGGAGGCTTTAGAAAGCGAGATTAGCATGTCTCTCTCGGATCGGCGGTCAATCCTAACGTGGATGCTCGAGTCTTTGGACGCTCTCAATGTAATGAGACCCGCTGCTGTGGAATACCCCGTAGTGGTGTTCCGTTAGCTCGACGATGCAGTCCTGTTCTCGGCAATTGCTATTACAGACCGGTATGGCTCCCAGCTCTCTCGGAAGCACCGTTACTTCACTTCCACTTCTGCTATTTTCCTCACCGGAGCGGATCTCCAACAGGTCAGCCTTATTCTGACTAAAGAGGTTCAGTGCATGTTTAGGCAATAGTAGCATCACTCTGTATAGCACTCAAAGTAGCAGATACGTTTGACGGAAAAGATACTCTCGCGAAAGGTGGGTACTATCTCAGCAGAATGCCATCCTGTTGGTCTGGCTCAGGAGTCACCGTCGGCGATTTCCTCGCGCATCTGTCCGGTTATGTGCTCCCTCCTAAGCAAATCTACACTGTGGAGGCGGTCATCCTTAACGAACTCAATTTCGATGTCTATAGCCAGACGGCGGAGGTAGGCACTTCCACGTCCCTCAGTGCATCATTGTTTCGTATCAGAATGTTATCAGAAGCGTCTTTTCCGCCTATTGCCCGATGCTCGGGTCCGAATCCCTTCCTCGGGAATATTGGTTAGCACAGTACCTCATGGAGGTCCAGGCTCTTTCCAAACCTCTATCGGTGCTGGATACGCAAGCCAGTTTGGCAGCCGTCTGCATTGCTTGCGAGGTTTGCGGTGCTCGTAGTCCCGTTCTGCTTCCCTATGATTTCAATCGCATCCGGAGAGAACTACTCAGGGTATGGCAGTCTCGGGCCCGCAGTCTTGGATACGCTCTATCTGAAGCGCTCGATAAAAAGTATGCATCTCCGAAGCGTCGATGTGTCAGCTTGATCTCTTTGCATTATTACTTTGAAGAGGCAGACTACTATTGCTCATGATATAACCCTCAGCTTAGTACTCCTGAAGATTGGTTACTGGCATCTCTGAGTCGATGCTGCTACAGCTAAGCAATGACCGTTTATCCCTGCACCTCTATACAGTGTGGCTTGTCGATATATTCGCGACGACTTTCGACAAGTGTTAGTATTTCGTCGTCGTGTTTATATGCTTGAACATTTGTCAGTCCTTCGCCGTCTTGAAGTGGTGAATCTTATCCTCTATATATGCCTGCTTCGTATACCTATTTATACATGGCTATGTTGTAGTACCAGAAGTAGGGGATATATATGAACTCCTGCGACAATAGTAGTCACATACGTATCATTGTGGTTCACCATTTACATGAACTCTCATGTCACAGATTGCTGCAATAATGCGACTGTGCAGAAGAGTGATCGACATGTCATTCTCTCCAGCTACACATCCTTGCTGTTGAGTCAAAGAGAGTGAGTGATCAGCCGTGGACTGAGTTTGATGCTGAAAGACTTACAAACTGTGCCGCGCAATCGATGCAATAGAAACAGCGCATATCGTACTCCACACGGGAGGACTACTACCATGCCATCACGTACATGTGTGTGTGTCAGTTTGAAGTCCACGTACAGTGTACGTAGTGTGTATGTCGTACACAGTAACAGTAT